GTGGGGGAGGCTGGGGGAGGGCCTGGGAAGGCTGGCACAGGCTGCACTCGAGTTGCGGGAAGCTGGGGGAATGCCTGGGAGGGCCAGTGGAGGCTGTGCATGGACAGGGAGGTGCTGCGGGTAGGACAAAAAGTGGGAGTGACTTACCAGAGTGACTTGTGACCTTCCCTGTTGGCTTCCCCATTGAGTTTGCTTGTGGGAAGTCCGCAGGGAAAGTTGCAAATGGTGATCACATGACCCTGGCTCTCTGTGATGTAACCACGAGCCGGGCAATGACACTTTATAGTCCCAACATATGTGAAGGGTATCAAGTTTGGAAAGGCTGAAGTATTGCTATAACGTGAACTATCTGAGTTCTATCTAAGGCAAAATGGCTCTCCAAGCAGAACTGGGTCATATTAGAATCACACAAGAACAATCTTGATACTGTTGCTGCATGACATGCTGGAGGCCTGCATGCTTGTTAAGAAAGTGGATGAGGACACAAATAATTTATAAAGTTCCTAAAACGTACCTTATCATTCATGAGCTGATGATTCAGTGGTGTCCAGGTGCTCATCTTTGTTTGCATCTTGGGACCTTCCAGGTTTTTGGGAGGTGCAAATGCCATGCCTTTTTTACATGGAAAAGGAGCCAAAATAATTAAAGTGCCAATAACTATATGTGACGTATTTGGCAAGTATTAAGGCTGTATACTACCATTCATTTTACATTCTTATATGTATACTTTAAAACAGTCCTTAAAAACAGAAATGTGATGGCAGCTTAAACTAAATCTCAAGTATTTAATATGGCTATTAGGCAACTGTTCTTCTAACACTTAGGAGTGCTAGCTTATAGCTTTCATGGCTGAGAGTATCTGTGCAATAAACACTAATTCAGTACACAGTGCTCTTGCTAAACTTACAATGGCAATAGCATATATTCCCACAAACACCTTTTTGTATAACACTTCATTGTGAAGCATGCTTATCTGAACTGATGTTGCTTATGAAAAATACAATATAGCATCATCAAATTAAGTAAAATGAAAGTAAAACATTTGTTTTTAGAGGGAAAAGTGTGAATTCAAAGATTTATCAAGCAGGCTACCAGCTTGGCTGGCTTCAAAAAAGGGTTGGACCAATTCATGGAAGACATGGGGATCAGCGGCTATTAGCCTCGATGGGAGTGTGAGTGCCTCTGAAGGCCATCTGCTGGGAGATTAGTGGGCTTCCTTGAGCAATTGGTTGGCCACTGTGAGAACAGACTGCTGGATTAGATGGGCCAGGGGTCCTATCCACAAGGCACTGCTTATGTTATGTTCTTAACAGTGTCAAATATGAGTTTTGATTTTCTCGTGTAATTTAGCCATTTAAACAGATATGTATATCTCTCACACACTAATTAGTTCCACTTAAAATATCCTTACTTTTACTAGTGGTTTTTGGCCCATAGGCTGAAACCTATTGCACTAAACAATCAAGAACTACAGAGCCTGTTCTTTTAGACTGGATCCAGGCTAAGCTGGATCATCACATTCAACATACCAGTTTCTTAAAATTGCCAAAGAAAACAACTGGCAACCTGTGCAGGTTTTTCAACATGAGCCTCAGCAGCATAACTGATATATTTGAAACTAACTGAACATTACATCAGATTAGCCCCACATTAAGTGCATTGCAACAGTAGAATTGTGATATAATCAAGACACAGATCACTGTTGCACATCCATTTGGCTCAACCTTCCCCAACCTGTCAGCTTTTAGATATGTTGCACTTGTGACTACAACTCCCAGAATTCCAACCAGCATTCTAACTTAGAATTCTGGCAACTATAGTCCCAACATTTGAAGAGTGCCAGATTGGGGAATATTCAGTTATAATCAGAAAGCTGGAAAGTAACTTAGAGATCATCTAGTCTTCTTCCCTGCCCAATGCAGGAATTCTATACGATAGCATTCCCAATGGGTAGCCATCTAGCCTGTGGCTAAACACCTCCAACACATGAGAGTCTATCATCTCCCACTTTGAACAGCTTTTATCATTATGAAATTTATGATGCCCAACTGAAATCTATTTCCTTGTAATTTAAACCTATTGTTTCTTGACTTCTGGAATAGCTCTTAATGGTGGCCCATCTTACACATAACAGCCTTGTATATCTGAAGATAACTATCATGCCTCTCCACAGTCTTGTCTTCTCCTGGCTAAAAATATCGCAACATCTCCAACTATTCCTCCTAAGTTTTTTTCTTACAGGCCCTTATCATTCTGCTTGTTCTCCTCAGGTCACATTCCAGTTCGTCAGTACAATTACTAAAATGCAATGCCCAGAACTAGACATAATATTCTAGGTGCAGTCTGACCAAAACAAACTAGAAAGGAACTATGACATCTCTTGATCCTGATACTATATTTTTGCTGATGCAGCATAGGATTACCGTATTTTTCTGACAATAAGACGCCCCCATGTACAAGACGCCCCCCACTTTTCTAGCC